GGCCTGCTCGTGGCCCCCGGGCCCATCAACGGAGGTGGGTGGCAACGCGCGCGGCCCTGCCCCGGCCTCACACCTGTCTGGGGGGTAACAGGATTCCTGCACAAGCGTGGGACCTGTGTGTGTGTGTGTGTGTAATGGGGGTCCCTGGCTAGCCATGAGACCTGTGTGTGTGTGTGGAACGGGGGGGTCCCTGCACAAGCGTGGGACCTGTGCGTGTAACAGAGGTTCCTGCCCAGCCAAGGGGGGGGGGCAGTTTATAGACACATTTCTGGCTTTTTTGGAGCCTGTGTTTGTAAGGGGCGCAGGCCCCATGAGCCGCTCCCTGTTTGCACGCCCGTGCAGCGGGGAGCTGGAGGGTGCCTTGCTTTAGGACGCTTGCCTGCAGCGCTCACAGCCGTGCGGCTGCTTCACCAGCGCCCTGAGAAACCGGAGCCACAAAGCCGAGGGTGGCCTGGCCCGGCCCAGCGCGCTCCACGCTGAACCATCCAACGTGAGGGAGGTCACGTCTAGTCCAGCCCCCTGCTCCAAGCAGGACCAGCCCCAGCTACATCATCCCAGCCAAGGCTTTGTCTAGCCAGGTGTGAAACACCTCCAAGGATACAGCTTCCACCTCCTGTCTGGGCAGCCTCTTCCCCTGCTTGACACACTGATGTTTTGGCCCCCCTGCCTTTTGCAAGGTGGCTGAACCAGCCCGGCTTTTCATCCTTGTGTCTCGCTCCGTTCCGGCCTGTGAAACCCTTGGGGCTTCTTCTCGACCGGTGTCTGATACCGGGTCGAGACGCTGCATTCGTAGAGGATGATTTGGATCGGGGGTGACGTCTGGAGGTCCCCTTCCAGCCCCGCTCCTCAGCCTCTTAACTGTGCCCCTTACACGACAGTGTCGTCTTCAGAGGTGCGATGTGCTTTTAGCCTCTTTTCTTTTATTAGCATTCTGAAACCGAAACATGGCATTTTGCTTGCTTGCCGATTTTTATTTTATTTTTTAATCGTTTTTTAAATGGCAGTTTTGGGGGGCGGTTTTTGGCCAACGTAATATAACTATTCTAGTTTTAACTTGTTTTTTTTAATTATGCTGATCTAGCCAAAGCTGAAACTAAAGTCCATTACCTAGAAAAAGATGGATTCTCTTGCCTTAGGTATGTCTGTTCTCTTTGGCTGTAGACAGTACATCACAATAGGTTCTCAAATTGCCACCTTTCTTAGAAAATGGACGGACTTGATGGAGTGCATCTGGCCCCCACCTGGTTTCTGGACACTGGACTTCTGAAGAGACCAGAAAATGGATTATTCTTTCAAAGTAACCTTACACGCTTATCATGGAGGCACACACTTTTTTAAGAGCTGAGATGAAGAATACCTTAACATGCTTTCAGGCCGTGTATTTCTAAAGTATAATTGGGGGTTGATCGAAGCTAATGTGTTAAATCTTAATAGCATATTTTGATGCTTGACCAAGCTGAAAACATGTTTTGGATGTTTTTAAGGTTATGATACTGCTGCATCTTTAAACAATTAAAGTGTTTCAGCTAGAGATTTTTTTTTTAATCTGTTTATAGCAGTCTTTTCTGATATGATACAGTACCTGCCAAAGAGTGAAAAGGCCTTGTTCAGGGGATGATTGTATTTTAACTGGAAGCCCATAAGAAGAGAAAATCTGAACAAAATCTTAGCAGTCCATAAACATCTTTTAGTATACCATACTAAAGCATAGCATGACAAATAACTTCAGCTAGGTAGCATGGTGAATCATGAAATTGCAGAGCTCTGAATTATTGCAGTTTTGACATGGTGTAATCATTAAAATTTGATATGTCATCAGTTGCTGAGCAGGTTCAATTCAGTCCTTCAGCTTGTCAAAAGAAGGCTGTGAAGGTATGCACAGCTGCCTTCCACTCATCCTTAACCCCTTAAGAATTGTTTCAGGGTACACTTTAAGCCTTGCACGTTTTGCTTGAATTTTGCCATGGCATGCTTTCACATAAGTAAAAAATAATAGTATTGTGCAACAGTTTATCTAGTGTGGAGAATATTGAAATTCGTATTTTCCTAGTTGATCCAAGATGCTTCTGTTTAGACATAATCATGCTTGTTTTTATTTCCACCTGATGTGTTGTATTTGATAAGAGTCCTAATGTTTGCCTTCTGCCAGCATTTGCCCTAATGCCTTTATTATTGACTGCTAGAAGATGTTTTAATACCTCTTAACTAGAATAAACAGTGTAATCTTCTGCTGAAATATGTCCTGTTCAGCCAAGTTCAGCTTCATGCTTGAGGTGAGCAGAAAAGGCCCCGTGTCCCTGTTGTGATCACGTATGCAGAGAGACTGGTTGTGAAGTTTGGGTTTGGTATTAGACTGTCAATTCACTGCCTTGCATGGACTCTTATGTGAACCTGGTTGCTCAGAATTACTGATTCAGTTTGAATAGACTGAGCATCCCTGGCCTCGGGGATGGAAATGCCTCTGTGTACAAATATGATAGTTCTCTTTAGCTGCATATAGGGAAGTAAATTAGTTGTGTAGTGCTTTGGAGTCAGTCCTGAAAAGGTTAAACTATTAAACATGATGTTTTATGTGTTACCACTACTCATAATATTAAACAGTATATGCTTGGTTCGATTCTCATGACTGGGCCCTTTGCTTACTCAGTATTTTCTACATCAGCCACTTTTCCTTTTAAAATAAATAGTAAAAAAAGATTTGGTCCACTGTACCACCCCCCACATGGAGTTCTTCTCATTCCCTTGAAGTTGTACTTACAGTATGCTATAATTTTCTTAACCCCAAGCTTTTTTCCCTGTCCCTTCTTCAAGTCTAGAGGAGACTAGACAGTGACCTTGCTGGGGTCACCTGACCCCCAGTTATCTTTCCTGCTTGGTGCAGGGGGCTGGACCCAGTGATCTTCCAAGGTCCCTTCTGACTTTACAATCTATGAATCTATCAAAATTGTTTGTGAAATGGTTGGGTCTCAAAAGCTGTCCATTTGCCCCTCCCTCCACCTCCCAGAGATACTTGTAAGAGTAATTCACGTTAGAGTTTGTAAATGTGAAGCGTAAATGTGTAACTTGGGTGGTTTTGCTCATGTCACATTCAGCCTAGGCTACAAATAATATGTTAAAAATGTCTCAGCTATCATCATATTATTCACCATTATATCCTCTGTTTGCATGTCTTTGGGTTTCTTTCTCTTTGTCACTGGCTTGAAAGCTTAATTTTTAAAGACATCAGAACAAAGTACATAATATGCTCATAACAATAAAACATGCTTTTAACTGGCTTCCTAAATATAGATTACAATATGTACAGAATGGAAAGCATAGACTGCCTTTTGACATCAGAACAGAACAATAATAATAAAGATCTTGTATAAGCCTGTTTTAAAGCTTCTTTGGTATCACCAGTAGGGCTGGGATAGCACTAAGTTTTGTGCTATGAACGCCAACCAAGTTTGTTCTATTACATACTATTTTATTTTAATATTTTTATTCTGTCTGCATATACATTTAATAAATACGTAAATAAATCACATTCTCAAAGATCCTATTTTCAGTGGCCTGTAACTCTGCCAAATTTTCGTAGCTTGAGCTGAAATTATTCAAACTGAGTGCTTGCCTCAAGCTAAAATTCTTCAGAAAACTTGAGTCAAACCAGATAAGTAACTTCTGGAAAGCAGAGCTAGCTTAAGATGAGCAAGACTTTTTAATTCTGGTGATAGTTTTCCAGGATGTAATTTCCCAATATATTTGATCTCTACAAAAATATTTGTAATGGTTATGATGGCTGTACTGTTCTTACTACTTTCTTTATCTTTTAAATACATTTCAGAGGATGTAATTAAGGGACCATCTATATTTTATTTTTAGTGTTTAAAAAGTACTGTTACTGCTATGGGGACATGTTGTAGTCATTAAGCTATGAACATTTTTATATTGGTAGAAGCAGAGTGAGAGGCTGAGCACACCATGGTATGGAGAAGGAACTTGAAACTTTTTTCTAGCATTTCTCCTGGGGATGTGTAGTTTGTTCTCATAAGTCAAATTTGGCCAAGTTTAAAAAAAAAAAAAAAAAGCTTTTGAAAAACTTCAGTGGACACAGTTGCAGTAGAAACTCCCTAGAGCTTTGCAGTTTAAATCCCCCTAAGGTTTTGTCCCCACTGACCATGCTTTCAGCCTGGGGCTGACAAGGGGTTTTTCTGTAATGACTGTTCTGAACTGCTTCTCAAGCCATATCTGGGCACTGGAATTAAGAATCACAAGACTTCCTGTTCTGCGCTCTCTACTGATGCTCAGACAGAATAGGGAGCAAAACAGAGGAGATGAGCTGCAGTGGAGAGTGTGATAGGGAAGTGGATCCGGACAAGGAAGCTGAAGGAGGAAGACTGGGAGGATAATTGGGACTTGGAGGGGCAGGTGACAACTGGGACAAAGTGAGGGGGATTGGGATGCATTGGGCAAGAGGACTAGGAACAGAAGAGGGAACACCAAGAAAGTAACATCAGAGTTGGGCAATGCCAGCATTGCAAGTGACTGGCCAATTCCCTTTTGAACCATAGTATGTGTTCATGGATTTCTCTGCAGGATGTAATTCAGTGCCCAGAGTGTGCATGTAAGGCATGGCTACTTGAACAGCTAACTCCTAGGTAAGCTAAGGAGCATCAGCTATTCTGCAGATGGTTCCCACATGCACATGCTTCTGCCTGTACAAGGTCGCTTCTTCTGTTCCGAGTAAGCTACTTGCACTTACTATAAGGTCAGAGTAGCTCATGTGCTGTGAGTTCACTTTAGTTTACCTATAGTAATTTGTTTGCAAAGCCATACTCTTAGTGAACAATTCTTTAGTATTATGATTAATTTTGTTCAGTGGGTGGCCCCATTCCTTTTTAATGCATTATATTCAAACCCTGCTCTGAGGATAGAATTATTCATTTCCTTTTGGTTTTCCTATATCATTTATCTGAGCATTTTAGAAACATTGATTTGTTTTCATAATCTCGCTTTGCCTCTTAGGGATATCATTGTAATAGGTATACATTTGAG